TCGTGTCAGACAGGACGAGTACTGGAACGAAAGCCAAATCAACCTTAGCTTGTCAAAAGCCATATCTCGTTCCTGGCCCATTCGTTCTTGGAACTCAGCGGGGTCACTAGGAGGTGTGACTATTGAGCTTGACTCGAAAATAATTCCTAAGGCAACTGACCATCCACAGGAATATCTTGAGCTTGGTACCACAAGTTGAATTTTTCATCTTCACGATAGCGTGCACTTCGCCTTTATCTGCGTGGACTCTATATTTATTGATGACATGTTCTAAAAACTCTAAAGTAGTTTTTTGTGAATTGACATTTTGCGTCATTTAGCGTGACTTTGAATAATCTGAGGTGATAGGTTTTATCTCATATAGCCGTGCAACAGGATATCATCAATCTTGCAAATGTGTCCTTCGATGCCACTCAGAAGCTGCGCCGCGACACCGGTGGCGGATTTTGGAACTGCCTAATGACAGTCCCGAAGTCCACAACACTTGTGACGTCATATGGCGAAAATTAGGTGACTTTTTAATCTGTTGCTAGAATCCTGGAGCGAGTGTGATGCCAAACAAAAGTCGATTAAAGTTATAGCGACCTAATTTTCAAGTTCAAGCTGCCAGAACCAAGAATTTGCGACCAGTCTTCTCAGCTGGCTGAGTGCGTGGTCTGTCACTGGAATCGTACTCGCTCTACATACATGTTGATCTCTTTGGAGTTTGCACAAATTATGAAGCTTCTATCCTACTTTGGTACAACTACTCCGCTGAGCGCCATTCCTTTGGATTGTCCACACCTGAAATTAATCCCAGAGTGGCTGTGCTCTCGAGTTCTTCCAGGTTCTTATTTGTTAAAGAAATTGGTACTCTCAAAGGGCTGCTCAAAGACAGAATAACTGCGTCATCAGGAAACATAGACTTCTATGGTTGCTTTACTAAGACCTTGGACGAATTCAAAATATTCGCTCTTCGGTTTGACTAACACTCAAACTACCACGCTCACGCTCATTCTTTTTACAAGTGTCAACATCATAGGGTGACCTCTTGACAACAGTGGTTGATCGAGGTTTGTCAGGGTGCAAACATCAAACCCAAGGCGTTTTTCTTTGTGGCGAATTTCATCTCTCAGCTCTCTTAGTCCATCCATTGTCGTTCGGCTGGGCTCCTTTACTACTTGGTTTCAACCAGACAACGTGCTAAGATACTGCTCGTAAATATTTTTAGAACTGCAGCAATGCCTGCTTATGTGTCTAATTGCATGTGAGAGGTCTGGGTTGTGAGCCCAATCTTCCAAACATTTTACTCGACCGATTCCATCATACCCAACAAGGTGGGCTCATAGTCTGATACTTCGCTTTGCAAATTGTTTTCGAAACCTTAGCAAATGTTTTGTTTTCTTGCATTTGTTGCCTGCTTCGTTTTTGGAAACTCATTGTTTTCGTAGAAGAGATCTGCGGCCACACGATACACGTTCTGCGGTATCTTTGAAGGCCCTTCTCGGCACAGTCGTCCTGCATGTGGGATGTGACACCGTACACACTCGACTGAGACTGCGCTCCGCGTGGAGATCAACGTGCGACTTCTTCACCGTCTCCAAATGACGGGTCACTCTGATTGTTTCTAAAGCATTAGCTTTACGGGCGATACTTTGCAGAGATTTTGACATTGTCTCAAGTCGTAACCGCGCGCGCGAGAAATGGAAAATTCCTTTCTCTCTCCCCTTTTGCCTCGAGGAGAGGAAGTCGGGACTTCCCGTTTCCTGTCCGCCGTGTCACACAAAGAGAGCGAGAACGGCAGCACGCCGCGGCGTCCCACCAAGAATTGTGCGACAAAAGGAGGATTATCGTATCGTCTGCTTGAAAGACTGGTTTTCAAACATTAATCGCGTTATGCCTAATTCCACTTTGGGTGTATCATGTTGCACCGCGTAATGTTGGATGGTTTTAGAAACTTCCACCGCGCTTACCTTCTTACTTCACGGATCTATGGTGACCGTCGTCAGTGGCATTTACGATGCCAACCACAAGGGCTACGAAAATTAACCATACCTCCGTCCTCAGGTACGTGACGCCACCATTCCACCCGCCTTGCGCTTCCATTTCTTCGCTCATTGGGGGCAAAAGATAATACATTTTTATAATATAAGCTTCGCGTCGACTTGCATCCCCTCGGACAACTTCTTGTGCTTGTCGGATGCGTGAAGAATTTGTCAAACGCGTAATCTGTTATAAAATATGTTCACTCCGACGTACCTTCAAGCCATAAATGCAACTTATTCTCGTCAAACACATATATCCAAACGAAGAAACGTCCTTGGGACGCGTTTTGTACATCAAAGCGTTGATTTGTTCAAAACCTATATTTTCTAGAAGTCAGCTCACCACTCAAAAACGCTCGAACCTCTGAATCCCCCTGATCCAGTCCCGGACTGGTTGAACTCTTCCGCTAGATGTATGTGAAGACTGGAGCCACCATGGCGATTTGAACGTTAGGCTCTTGAGTACTGGAGTCATCTGAAGTCATCGGTTCGTCTTCATCGCCCTTGAGGGGATTTCAGAACCGAGTTACGAAGTTCTTTTAATGAAGACGGCAGTAACCAGCTGCTGCCACCATATTGTATTAGATATAAAAAACGCAATAGCAAGACAGTTTTTACGAAGCCTAAGAGTCTAATTTCGTAATATTCTTCAAACCCCTCTCTCGACCCGCGATGGCTGGCGTATCCTATACAAATACAAACTGAGGGAGAGGAGGAAATGAGAGAGCCCAGGGACACCAGAGTATAGAGCTCTGATTCGAAATAATTACGCAAAGGCCTTTGTCTTTACTCGCAGTTCGAATCAGCTTGAACAGTGAGTAGACACAAAGGCAGTTAAATTACTGGTGTAAGTTGAACATGATTGTAAACCTGAGACTGGGGCAGAAAAGAGAACACAACAGAAGGTAGTAAATTATATATTGAGACGTTGCCTCCTTTTTTACTACCTTCTGTTGTGTTCTCTTTTCTGCCCCAGTCTCAGGTTTACAATCATGTTCAACTTACTGGGTAGGCGCCTTTTGTTTTCACACGAATTTTTGTGTTTTGGAAAGTATCTTTTAGATTCAGAAAAATAATCGGTGTTCATAAGAGAACATGGTCACGATCCGAATAGACCGATCTCACCAGCCAGTTTGACTACGCCACCGCTGCCGCAATGCATGGAGGGAATGGCGGCGTCACGCATGCGCCGAACGCTTAGTGAGATCGGTCTATACAAGAAACATCTCTAGGTACTGATATAATATATATATATATATATATATATATATATATATATATATATATATATATATGAACGAATATGTGCAGATGAATGAACCGTACTTAATCCAATGAATCAAAGAATCAAAGTTTCCAGGAACCCGCCGAAAGCCAAAAATTGGCGGAGCCAGGATTTGAACTCTGGGCCTCCCAATGTCCGGTCGGGTGTGCTAACCACTAACCACTACCGGACATTGGGAGGCCCAGAGTTCAAACCCTGGCTCCGCCAATTTTTGGCTTTCGGCGGGTTCCTGGAAACTTTGATTCTTTGATTCATTGGATTAAGTACGGTTCATTCATCTGCACATATTCGTTCATATCCTCCTCGGAGACCACGTACGATGGTGTGAAGTGCCCGTGTTGTATACATAATATATATATATATATCTATATATATATATATATATATATATATATATATATATATATATATATATATATATATATATATATATATGTTTTAAGGGCTGTAGTTCCGAAATCAGTAAGGACACTTCAGTGTGGACTCTTTTCTGAGCTAACACAAATTTAAACTGTCGACGATATTGCTTCCCGTAGTGTTTGCGTATTCAAGTACGGCTCCAATTAGCCGTTTTGGATTTTTTAATTAACAATTGCTATTAAAAGCAATCAACCTATTAGAAGCCGTATTACTATTCAAAGGCTTAACCTTGGTGTTTTGTATGTTGGGAAATGGGGGGGGGGGGGGGGGGGGGTTAAATATTGACGTTGGAAACACTAGCTAGGTCGTGCAAGCTGTCGCTCGATGTAAAGGTTTCAGCTGTATCAATAAAGCACATTCTTGTGGTGGATCAACTTTCGGGCATTTATCTCGAACAAAGCTTTCAGACGTTTGTTTCAAGGGGATTGAGCCCATCGAGGATCACTGGGAAATGCAACGCCAACTTTTGCTCCCCATTTTACGGGCCCGAATCTGTCTTTCCGTGCCGACACCGACATTGTCGACACCGATCAGATTTGGAAGTCCTGCTTTGCGCGCCCAAATAAATTCCAGGTAATTAATACTTTTGATGCATATATTACCATTATAATGTTTGCTTTATTAGTAACAATATTTACAGGGTGTCACAAAAAAATGGTAGGTTTTTTCTTCTTTACCCGCAAAATAAACTAGGCATCGCTGAACGCTCATTGTCCGCCCAAGCGTAGTGCTAGAGGTTACAACCAGATGCCAAAGTTTCAGCCCGATCCGATACCTTAACCAAAAGTCATAAGTGATTTTCTGAAAATTTCAATGGGAAAACGGCGGCCGACAGAGTTTTCAAATACATGGGGCCCTATGGCACCAGAAACCGAAGACGGGCAAAAATGGGCTTCATTTTCCCATTGAAATTTTCAAGAAATCACCTATTATTTTTGATTAAGGTATTTGGAACGGGCTGAAACTTTGGCATCTGGTTGTGACCTCTAGCGCTACCTTTGGGCGGAGAATGAGCGTTCGGCGATGCCAGGTTTATTTTTGCGGTGAAAAAACCCTGTAAATTGTTTTTGTGACATCCTGTATCTGTAAGTTACCGAGATAAATTTTCACCTTCGTTTCACGTTTTGTTTGATGTGTTAGTGTATTTCCTTTAATAAATTTAAGTAGCGACATCAGAAATGTTTAGTGGTCGTGTTTAGTTATAATTTCCTATCTCTACTTTTAATAGGTACAAATTAAAAACAATTTGGCGCCCGTCACGGCAAGCTCACCCTCCAGGTTAAGTTTGCTCAGCTGCCCAAGCCAGGTTGTCCAGGGCTTGGGTGAGAGGACCTTGAAGGCGTTCCGGCTGAGCACCACCGTCTGCAGATGCGGCATGTTGGTGAAGAGGTTGTCAGGCAGCCAGCTGAGTTTGTTGTCGCTGCACAGACACAAAAACGGTCTGCCTTTCGTTTCAAAATGTACATCCTCACGCAATCAACTTTTACGCACATTAATCATTCAGCATCATGCAGCTGTTCAAAAAAATACCGAGTCCAAATTTCGCGCTATAAACATGCCTTTCGTCAGACTCATCAAACTATTTCACGCAGGAAAACAACTAGCCAATTTTGTTAAATACTTATTTTGAACTTTTTCTTTGTTTAGGTTTCGTATAATTAAAAAAAATACAACAAAAAAAAACGAAAAAAAAACACGCTCTTTATTTCCCCACACTACCACCTCCTTCGGCACGATCTAGTCCGACTGCTATCGCCTCCGTCACCACGGCAACAAGGTCTCTGCTGAATAAACGCACACGGAAACGTAGTCTGAAAGCAGCAAGAGATAATGCCATTTTTACAATACCGCCTGCTAAAGTCAACGTAAAAAAAATAGATCGAAAGAAGGGCTTTAAGCAAATGACTTGTTCTCTAGCGCCCAATATTTTGACTGGTTTACACGAAAATTATGGCGTTGTTTTCGGCCATCCGGTTGCCAGGTTGCTTTACAAAATGGGTCGAAGGTATCGGACTGCAATTCTTTTTACGTTTTTAATCGGGAGAGACAGTCGCAGATTATTTTCCAAGGACATAGTAGGATTAACTCCAATAGACTAGTTGCAAACGCCTTAAAAGGCCACACGCAAAGAATCATGGGAGCGTCATGTACGAATGTTTTTTTTTCTTTCTCTCACAACAGCTACCCCGTGACACTGAAAAGCGAGAAAGAGAAAGAAAGAGAAGAGCAGTTGCACGTCTGTCCTCGCCCACTTGTCTGTGTGACCTCTGTCGTCTATACTCCGTTTCACCTTTAGTCCGAGCGCAGCGGACGCTAGGAGTAATCCCAGCCAATCCAGCGTGGGGAGAGTGTCATGTGACCTTGAGCTCCCTGTGTCCCTCTGCCCAACCGGCAGGTCGCGCGATTTTCTCCCGGCGCTGGATCGGCTGGGATGGCCTGTGGCGTCCACTGCGCTCAGACTGAAGGTGGAACGGAGTATAGCACAGACAGTTTTAAACAGTCAGTTCCCGAAATTTATTTTGACCTTGTGTAGGGTGCTGCACATTTCGCAAAGGGCCTACTAGGAACAAGTGCCTTCAACGATCTGAGTTCATCAGCGGAATATTTCTAATATCACATTCTTCAGGTGTCATCATGTACGTTCAATGGTGCCAAGGAGTAGCAAACGAAGTATATTCGTGTGGCGCACTGTCCTATTTTTTTCTGTGGCACTTTCATTTCAAGAAAATTTGTAGATGACAAGATGACAATTAAAATCACATTTAAAAAACGTACTAATACACATTAACGTGCTAAATGCCATGTTTTTCGTGAAATGCTAATAGACTATAGCTTAAGTGTACAGACATGAACTTGAGTCGGTTTAAACCGGTGAAAACCGATAAAGGTAAGTCGATTTTATTTTTCATAAGTTGCTTTTAAGCGAAAGAGGCCAAAATATTAAAGTAGTTAATGCTCGGAATGGTGTGTGTGTGTATGGGGGCGGGGGGGGGGGGGGGGGCGTTATCGAGTGACCTTGTAAGGTACAGTCTCCGGCGATATGAAAGACCCACTGGGAGCGCGTGGCCGAGGCGGTGGCTGGTGGGGGCGCTGCGAGCGCTCCGGGCAGTTCCGTTCTGCTTCGAGGGGAGGACGCTCACTCGGGGCTCAGCTAAAGCGCGCGCTTATCAGTTTGTGCTGAGCCCCGAGTGAGCGTCCTCCCCTCGAAGCAGAATGGAATTGCCCGGAGCGCTCGTAGCGCCCCCGCCAGCCACTGCCTCGGCCACGCGCTCCCAGTGGGTCTTTCATATCGCCGGAGACTGTACTTTCTTATTGAGTTTTTAGCTGTATCACTGACCACCCTTTGTCATTCTTCTAAATTGCGTAAAATTGCTTCGTCCACAGTCTCTTATCAAATGCCTACATCACCATTGGCAATGAAAGACTGGAATACACTACCTGACCACAATGTTTCCAAAAATAACACTGAAATATTTGCAACAGCTCCTGGATAGCCTCTTTCTCTCTAAAGCGTCAATGTAGATTGCGGTGTTTTAGTCTTGCGATGTTCTGATCGTAGTTTTTACTGTATAATATCCCTGGAGGATTAAAAAAAAAAAATAGCGATGATGATGATGTTATGCTTAGAGTGGGTTCTACAATAAGCAGTCATTTGTAGGTTAAAGATTTGCTCTCCTTTGTGATCAGGTTTTTTGGGTCAAGCTCATTGCCCTTGGGAGTTGGGGTTTTTATTGCCTTCATTGTCCGAAATGTCCTATTGCTTTTTAACATTTAGCGGCATTTTCAAAGTTTCTATAAGAGTCAATGACGAAATTAAAACATAACAACCAGCATTTTGTAAGTACATGGAGTAGACAGTGCTTCGAAACGTAGTACCGTACCGATTGTCTTTTGGCGGCCGCACTTGACATTTTCGTTATTATTTCTATGTTGCGCATACTAGCCGCGAAGAGTTAAATTCTATTTTATAAATTTATGTCGTTACATTGATTTTATTTATTTTATTTATAACATACAGCAGACCACAATGGTCAAAGCAGGGATGAATAAAACAAAATATATTGTCCGCATTACAAGGAAAACACAGCACAAAATCTTCGACGAAAATGCATCAAAAAACAAATTTATACAAAAACAGAAAATTAAACAGTAGCTAAACGTAAAGCATCGATAAAAAGCCTATTCAGTCATGAAATAGGAAGAGGAAATTTTCTTAGTAGGAAGGTTAATCGTCCTTGGGAAAAAAATAAAATTTAAAAAGGTTGGTACGAGCAAAGTAAGGAATTGGTGAATGTCTCCTAACCACACATTTTCGGAATTTTCAACCTTTCATATAGCAGCTGAAACCTACACATGACAGCACTTTGATACACACAACCCTTTGTTAATATTAGCCTTGCGCCCACAGTAGGTAAGCAAAAGCAGACATAAACCATCTTGCAGCATATTTTTGTTCCGATAGTAATCATCAAAAACAAGCAGCAACTTTATTATGCTATATATATTCATTATTTTATAAAAATTTTGACCTCCTACTTTTTTGTAAAAAAATTTAAGTTGACACGAATACTTTATTCGTAAACTAATCATAAGCAATCTAAGAAAAATGACTCTCAATGGTGCTGATGCATTCTTAGGAGTCCACCTTTCATATTTCACACTTTCACAAATGGCAGGAAAACAAGTTGTGAATAGCTGTGAAACTAAATGCCTAATGTGGCCAGCTTGTGCGAAAAGAAAACACGATAAGTGGCGTTGCGGACGTCAATGTTGGAGCAACAGCGGGACTAGTGCTCCGGTAAGACAGGCTCTGCCGCGCTACCCCCGTTTTTAGGCACACTCTATGCGGGAAGGCTGTGAACTAGAACATACGATAGCTGCCGAGAATCAATGCTGCAATATTTCCTCACGCCATCAGTTGATTGTTGTATATGCGTCGACGGATGTTACAAAATACTAACAGCTCAAAGTTCGAGGACGAGGAGAAGGAGAGATTACGCGCGCTATTTCGTCCCCGTCCTTTGCCACTATTTGGGTGTTTATATTGTTGAATCAGCCCGCCCATCAGTTTATCTTTAAGGTCACAGGATGACACGGTGCACTGATATAAAAATAGAGGCAGTTAAAAAAAAAAACATTTCATTTGTGACACACTCTGATGTCCTCTCGGCGGTGCCGAACATTCAAAATTATGAAAATGGCACGTCGAAGGGTGCAATTACCATACGCAAAATACAATCAAACGTTCTGTTGCGATTGATTCAAACAACGGTGTTTCGAATTATATTGAATTGTCTTCAATAAAAAAACAAAGTTTGAAGAAAATGTTCTTGCAAATGAATCTGCTAATAGTACGAAATGTGTACAAGCAGCGATCTAATAAGCTTCCAGTATTTATGAGAAGTTATTACACAGCATATAGTAGTAATGTTTATGACAAGTAGGGATATATTGTTATCTTGATAAACGCTTACAAAAATATATCAGTTATCAAGTGGTGATATCTCTAATAAAGATAAATTTTATGATTATTCCGAGGCGAGACTGTACAACGAGCAATATCGTTCAAGGTAGCCCAGCCTTGTAGTCCATACGGAGCAATTTGTCGGCTTGTTTATATGGCGTTTTTACGCGCTCGCATGTTCTGTGATCTCTTGAATATGTGGAATTCAAGAAAACTTCGGGAGCAACTTTTCTCTACCCGCTGTGTGCGTCTGCGAATACAGACATTGTACGGTCTCTGGAAGTGGCGCTCTTGCTGAATTTTATTTTTACGACGTATATTTGCGGAACGTAGGATACAGTTGAAAGTGAAGAAATAGCTTTCATTGGGGCTCTATCTTCTTGCGTAGGACAGAAGTACATTTATACAAGGAATGACGTGAATGCGTCTTGGCGGAATTAAATATCAGAGTCCGTTGTTGTCTGCATTTCTAAATTTGCAAGCAACCTGAATAATGTACAAATCAAATCACCATGCTGTTTCACAAATGGAGATTCGCGGATAATCAGCGAACGCCACAAAGATACAGCTGAGAAAACTAGAAAATGCGTTCTTAAACTTTTACAAAGGTTTTTTGACGTGATTCCATAATTAACAATACGTAAGTTTTAAAGGTACATAAAAATGGAGCAAACCGTTTCAGGATTTTGTAGTTATCAATAGTCCAAAGCAAGCCTGTTTTTATCTGTCATTACAGTTCCTCTGATTTGTTGTCCCACATACGTCGTTATGAGCTAACTACTAAAAGGGGCAGAGTTAAAAACTTGCCGGACCAGTGAAAGTAGAGTATAGGTCTCTCCGCGGAGTTTCTGACCTCGGGAGGGATGGGCATTCACTGAAGCTCGCGCAGCGGTGCCACATAGGAATGTTTCCGGGAACTTTTTTGTTTTACAATAAACTACAACATTTCTTGTTTC